GGGAATGTGATGGTCTGCTATATACTGTTGAAGCCCGTGAAACAACAATCCGCGATAGTGGTTCAATAAGCTTGGGTAGTGATGTTCCAATAGAATCTCTTAAAACCCGTGAAACGTCAACTGAAATCAAAGAATAAATGTCGTAAAGAATTAGAATCAAGATAATTTACAATACACCAGACTAGTTAGAACGGCTGCATAAAATTGTCCAAAAGTCTTTTAAAGAGGATGAAATATTTCGTGATCTACAAGGAGTAATACTGATTCGTTTAAAGCAATAACAACAATGGGGTATTATGTCTAAGTTGTATCAGGGATAGATCCAGGGGGAGGCAGTGTCTTTTTATGCTGTAGAAGGGGTGCGATATCTGTGTTGTGCGGCCCTATCAATCTAATCTTTTGACCTGCATCCCTCCCCCTGAAAGGACATTCTAATTTTGCACCTATGTAGAGAAATATTAAAAAAATATGTATGAATATATTGTATTAAAATTTTGTAAAAGGTCCAATATCAAGTGAAAATTGATTTCTTAACGGACATATCCGTAATGAAATCAGTTTATTTTTTGTTTTTACAAATTTGCAAACAGTGAAAAAATATAATGAATGTAATGAATAATAAATTTTAATAAAAATTCGATGTTTCTATATTTTGATTCTTGGTTCCTTAGTAGTTGGCTTAGTGGTTTCTTGAGCTCATTGTATTAAAACAATGTATATATTTCCCCCCCATCATACGGAATCTGGAATCCGACAAAATTATTTTACGAGATCATTTTTGAAAAGCGGCGTCGAACTGACGATCGCCGCGGGTTCGATTCTCAACACGAGTAGCTTCTAAACAATTAATAGTCTTTCTTTTTTTGACGTCAGAATATACTTTTTTTCTTTCTTTCTCAAGTGCAAAGTGACCTTCAATCTTAAATTCTCGAGAGTATATTACGAATGTAAGAATTTAACCGAATGCTCTGTCCGAATGCTAAATTTTCGCTACAATGATAACTGACATTGATGGGAAAATATCATACTTAGAATCTATTAAATCAATCACGGCGCTAGCTGATAAAAAATATATTCCACGCAAAATTCTATTCACTTAACGTAACCTGGACATGGTGTGTTTACGAAAAATGTGAACAATGCGAATAATGGTTGACGCTCGACCCTGACAAATACCTGAGCACTCCCCAGATACCTTACTAACTGTCACTCAAGTGTCATGTCCTGCTTTGTGATTGGTCGTAATGAAACTTTCATTTATTGCAAAAGCTTCTCATTGGCTCATTTTGAAAGTGCACTCAGGAATGCTACATTATACAGGTTTTTCTTAACACGCCTTCATTCGGGGTCAGGACTTCAAGTAAGTAAGAGGTTCTCTTCTGTTTTCTTGAAAATCTAACTGAATTGTTCTAATCTTGTGTTTTTTAAGTAGTCTTTGCGATTGCCTCCATGTGGGTGCAGTCCCAAAGCAGTTTTTTGCTGCAATTTAAGTGAAATTTCCGTCCAGAAATGTAGTGGGCTACAGTCGGTCCTCGCTCATTCAACAAGAAGCTGGCACAATGTTTCAGTTAAACTTTCAAAAAGATGAATGAAATAATTAGTGTACCTCTTCCAAGTGTCAAGTAATACACTTATTTAGGCTGCAGAGCCTTCAAAAATCACTTTTAAAACATTTTTTACAACAAAATGTAGAGTTCTATGACTTCAAAGCAAACGCGCACGGTTCGAAAAAACTCGGGAACAAGTTTGCAATTTATGTACTTATTTGTTAAACAATGTTCCTTTTGACTAACAATGTTCCTTTTTGTTTGCAGATGCAAGTTTTTCTCTTCTGAAGTCTACAAAAGAAGTGTTTCTTCGCCGAATTCTTTGAGGCAGTGTTTGAACCTAAGGACGCTCACAGAGGAATTTCATTCACGCACAAGGTACGTTTTTAAAACTTCAACGGCTTTACTTTTAGGTTTGATACGAAGGAATATTTCTTCAAGTTATTCTTTCTTTCTTTTTCCTTCCTTTGTTTTACTAAACATATTTGGAGACATGGTGCAAGAGGGTCGAGTTACTTTGGYGCCATTTTCAGGTTCAACAAATATTGAAACATTTCCTTTGTGTTTTTCTTTCAAACCTGCTTTGCTTTTGCTTCAATTCTTTATTTTTTTTTCTTTTTTCTTTTTTGTTTTCTTTTTTTACACCCTAAGATGAAAATTCCCGCCAAAACTCATTTTAAGGTAATTATGTAGTTTAGTAGTCTCTTTAATTTGCTTTGTCATTTTCTTTCTTTCTTTTTTTTCGTCTTTTTTAAGGAAATTGTTTTTGTCATTTTTTGAGCAAAAAGTGAAAAAACTGCCTTCCCCACTTTTGGCGCGAAAATGGTGCATCACTTATGATGCAGACTAGAATAATTTTATTTTCATCAAAAAAATCAAATCTTTTATAATTTTTATATTTTAACTATTTTTATGTTTGCTTTCAGTCTTAAACGGTTCTGCGTAACGCTTAATCACCATGGAAAATGATTTTTCAGACCTGTACCTGGAAGCCAATACATCATATCTATGCCTTTTGGAATAACACCACAACTATTTCATCATCATCATCATCATTTCAAGGACAGATGAAGAAGATGAGCATGTGCTTGGACAGTGCATGCCGGGTACCGGTTATACTCATGTGTCTCCCCCTTAGGAAAAACAAAATATTTGGCATTTTTTAAATATCACGTGAACCAAATTTCTTAGTGGCAGCTTTTACCTGGATTTTATCGTCACCATTGTTGGAACTGAGGAACTCTTTGGGTTAGCTTTTATCGTAGTTGATGGATAATGATAGCAATCTATCAGCTATGGTTATTAACATTGTTTGTCTTCTTCTTCCAGCTAATTTAGTCTCTTCCGGCGATCTATGCTCATTTGGTCACCAATTTACAAGCACACACACCCACAGTAAATTTGCGCGAAATGTTCCGATTTTAAACTGAGCATATCCGGCTAGGTATTCAAGAAGAGTTCCTCTTTTCTGTAAATGGTGAAAAAAAAATATGTTTTTATTTGAATATGTTTGCGGTTCAGTTTTTTTGTCTGCAATTAAATATAACTGCCCTTAAATGGTGTTTGTATTTGTATGGCTATGCAGGGCGGTAATTCCTGCGTCTTTTGTCCAGGTGAAAGTTTTTTGAGGATTTGATGCTCTGTCTTTTCCATTTTTGGGGCTGTTGACACTTGACCCTGGCTGTGTTGAAC